TACGCCATTTCATGAGATCAGTCTGTTCCACCAACTGCAAACGCGGAGGCAGCGTATGACGTCATACATGCTGTTACAGCCAAACTTCAAACAAATCAGCCAAAGGCCTTCATAATAATTTCTGGAGATTTTAATCATGTTTCTCTCTCATTAAGTAAGTAAGTAAGTAAGTAAAGTTTATTTATAAAGCGCTTTTCACAGATAAAATCACAAAGTGCTGTACAAGAGGATAATTAAAACAAACAATATAAAATGTATGTACATATGTAAAATTAAAGTGACACTAGTGAAAACCCATCAACCAAAAGCCTTCCTAAATAAACATGTTTTCACAGCCTTTTTAAAAGAGACAACAGTGTCTGCCAGACGTATGGACAGGGGTAGTGCGTTCCACAGTTTGGGAGCAACAGACTGAAATGACATGTCCCCTCGGGTCTTAAAACGAGTCCTAGGGACTGTAAGCAAGTTCTGGCCAGAGGACCGGAGAGTGCGGTCAGAGGAATACGGCTTCAAAAGGTCCAGGATGTAATGTGGGGCCTGACCATTTAAGGCGCTGAAAGTCAGCACTAAAATCTTAAAATCAATCCTGAATTTTACAGGGAGCCAATGGAGATCTAATAAGACTGGTGTGATATGAGACCTTCGAGGGGCACCTGTTAAAAGTCTAGCAGCAGAATTTTGAACAATTTCCAATTTGTTCAAATCAGACTTATTCATACAGATAAAAACAGAATTGCAGTAGTCAAGTCTTGTGGATATGAAAGCATGAATTATCATTTCCAGATCCTTCTTTGACAACATTTTGCGAATTTTAGAGATGTTCCTAAGATGATAAAAGCAATTTCGGACGAGCTGTTTAGAGTGTGTCTCCAAAGACATGGCCTGGTCAAACACAACCCCCCGGTTTCTGAGGCTGGATTTGACAGAGAGGCCCAGATAACCAAGGTGCTGTCTGATCAGCGGGATCTTATGGTCTGGGGCAAAAATCAGCGTTTCAGTCTTGTTTGAGTTTATCTGCAAATAGTTTGTGGCTAGCCAGTCTTTGATGGAGGACACAGTAGGAGGCTGAGTGGAGTGCTCCAGCGCCTGTTCAACTTAAGTCTTAGCCTGGAAAGAGTTCCGGTGCTCTGGAAAACATCTTGCCTTGTTCCAAAGAAACGGCGCCCCACTCTTCTAAATGACTATAGACCAGTAGCACTGACTTCCCATATTATGAAGACCATGGAGAGGTTGGTCCTGGCTCAAATGAGACCTCTAATTGATTCAGTGCGGGACCCCCAACAGTTTGCCTAACTGCCTCGGGTAGGTGTAGATGATGCTATCATCTACATGCTTCAGAGGGTCTATTCACATCTGGACAGGGGTGGCACCACTGTCAGAATAATGTTCTTTGACTTCTCCAGTGCCTTCAACACCATCTAACCAGCATTACTGGGAAGGAAAATGGATGTTATGCAGGTGGACTCCTCCATAATCTCTTGGGTCACGGATTACCTTACAGGCAGACCACAGTGTGTGAGACTGCAGAACTGTGTGTCTGAGCGGGTGGTGAGCAACATGGGTGCTCCTCAGGGAATGGTTTTGTCTCCGTTTCTATTCACCCTCTATACCTCAGACTTCAATTACAACTCAAAGTCATGCCACCTCCATAAGTTTTCAGAGGATTCAGCTGTGGTTGGTTGCATTGAGGGCAGGCAAGAGACTGAATATAGAGCCCTGGTCAACAATTGTGTGAAGTGGTGTGGAGTGAACCATCTACAAATAAATGTAACTAAAACAAAAGAAGTGGTAATTGATTTTAGAAGGAAAAAAGACCATCCCTCACCTGTTTCTATCCACGGCAGAGACGTTGAGATAGTAGACTCATATCGGTATTTTGGGATCCACATAGATGACAGACTTGACACAAAACACCGGAACAATTTCACCTGAGCAGCCTCTATTTCTTGAGAAGACTCAGGTCCTTTAATGTGTGTAGCAAGATGCTTCACGTGTTCTATCAGACTGTTGTGGTTAGTGCCCTGTTTTACTGTTTTCATGTATTGCTCCTAATGCACTTTAATTTACCAACTGGGATCAATAAAGTACTACTTACTTACTCATGCTGAGATCATCTGAAATGCAGCCACAAATCTATATGGTTTAATGTGAAAAATTATCATACAACACTATACATGTTTGGTATCATTTGAAATGTCTCAGTGTGACTGGTACAATGGTCTTATCCCCACAGAAGTAAACCAAAAGCTAATAAAGGTTTTAAGAGTTTTAGAGATATTTTGCTTACTGTGGTGGGCGGGTAATGCAAATTGCCCTCTGTCCTCAAGTAAGGTGTAAACTACCCAAGTCTGGGACCTTGATTAATGCAAATTCCTACTGTTAGCCCATGTTTCCATTTGAAAGAGGTTTCTGTCCTGGTCTGAGTATTTAAAGAGATGTTGCAGGTGGCTCAAAGAGCGATTTGTAGGCAGATCAGACCGTAATGGTATGCATCTTTTGCTCTTTACTTCAGAGCATTTGATGTTATGTATTTATTATCTTTGAATTGATTATGTTATCAGCATGATACATTTACCTGACTTATAATAAATACCATTATTCCACTATAATAAATATAATGAATACATTTGGCTTTATTCTGAGTTACTCTGAAATTATTAACTATTAAAGTAGATTATGTTGAGTCCATTGTTACTGCAAATCTGCTGCCAGGGTTAAGTACATAGTAGATCTCAGGTTAGATGGAGCATCTGGGACATCAAGTGGGATTCTAGATTTCTGACTTACTGCTTGACTTTAGTTAAGTTTATTTGCAGTCGCATTCGCTTTAGGGGGCTTGATAAAAATACTGTTGAGGTAATAGCTGGGTTTCAGTCACGTGATTATGATGACGCGCGAAATTCAGATGGAGGGCAGGGAGTGAAGAGCGCAATGGACGAGATGGAGGAAAGTCCGTACTGTACTACTTTACACGCTATTACAAGAGAAAGATATAAACAAAAAAAAATCAAACATATGTTGGACGTGATCCTTACGTTATGAAGAGGAGCGATTTTTCAACTGAATTGAAAGATTATCCTGCCATCGAGGCGGTAGATATCAGCAACTACCTCGTCTTACAGACATACTTTGACTTTACAAAGTTCGGAAACATTACACGTTACACAAACATAGCCACTTAAGTTGTATTAACTCACCTTTGACGAAGTGATCACTGCACACACGGACATTTTCCCATTCGGCTCCTCCCGACCGCAGACGTAGGTTTGCAAACCGTTTTTCCTGAGTTTTTCGGTCAATTTCTTGCATTTCCCCCCCTTATGAACAACAACTTTTGGTACACGATAAAAACTCCTCGTGGTTTGATCGATCTAAACGACGCAAAACATAGGCATTTTGAGTTTGTTATAGTGCTTTCTAAATACAGCAAATCACTTCCTGCCCTCCATTTGCATTTCGCGCCATGGCAACGCAGTGGCGTGACTTCATATGAAAACAAGCAATAGCAAGCATTGGGGCGGCATTATTTCATGGTACTAGCCATAACCCCTGATTATTGTTTGAGCTTTAACTAAGTTGTTACATAGGCGACTGTAGTGGGCTAAACGGAACTACCTGTAACGGGACGAACCAGATGAGAGACGTGCGGATCCATTTGCAAGGCTTTATTCCAAAAACATAGTCATGGTACAGGCAAGGTCAGTAATCATCAAACAGGTATGGCAGAGGCATGGCACAGAGAAATCCTTTAGGGCAAGCGTGGGTCGACGAGGTGCAAACAGAGTCCGAAGGTCGGACTGGCAAGTTTGTGATCGTGGGATCCACATTAACCGGCCGGCGCAAGACCCTAAGCGACATTGGTATCCGAATGAACGAGTGCAATAAGAGTTAATTATAATAATCAAATGTCCACATCAAGTATAATATAAATTGTCAATAACCAATTAGCATTCCAACCTAAATATGAGGTCGTGATAAAATGGAGTCATAAAAGTTTAATTGGAATTAAACTACTTTGCCACACTGAATGACCGAACGCACAGTAAACCTTCACCCGCTTTATTAGAAACCATTGGCCGATTGGGCCGATTAGAACAAGGCCGATTGGGTGGGCCTTACACTTGCAACCAAAGCAGTCTTCTTTTGGTTCCTTTTTGTTTGGTTGGCAGGTGATAAATATTTAGTTCCAGGTTTTTGGCTTTGTTTTGAAGTGCAAAAAATGACACAGCAGTTTTACGACATGTATTTTGTTGCAAAGATAGACACATTTAATTAATATTTCTCCCCGTTTTCCTTATAGGAATGAAAAACGATGAAAACGGTGCTTTGTTTTCCACCACTAGAGGGCGTGGCATACTTTCCGACTATATCAATAAACCCCACCCTCAAGACTGATTGACAGTTGAGTTGACTGTGTTAGGCATCGGAAATGCAAGTGCAAAGGGGATTGCGATTCCGTTTGAATTTTATGAGGGTTGGGGCAGGATGCAGAGGAAGTGAAAAAGCAAATGGGTGATTCCAAAATGGCAGGGTCATAATGATGACATGTTACATTCATGGAAAAGAAAATCTAAACGTAATTAAAAATCACAAATTTGTGTTTCCATTATGTCACAACGTATGCATGCACAAATTAAAATGCAATGGCAAATACAATTTGCAATTTCTTTTAAATATTGTCCGGAATATCATTCCATACAAATCACACAAATTACCTACTTTTACTTTAAAATGGTGATTTTCACCAGAAAGGTAACAGGTTTGCATCGTTGGGATTGATATTTTTTTTTTATTTGTTATATTTTATAAAACCTCACTATGAGGAAATACAATTTTGTTTGCGCATTTGATTTATCATTTAAGCATTTGAGTATCTTAATTTAATTAGGAAGGAAATATTTATATTTTGCAAATTAAATATAAATATAAAATAATTAAAGTATAAAAGTAAACAAAAGAAAGTTTATGTAAATTAAGGCATATAAAGTGTTAATTGTCACCTCTCTATCTGTTTCTGGTGTTTTTCTTCTCTGGCCTGAGCCTTCATCTGCTGCACCTCAATGGTGTCAGGCTTCCTCCTTCTCATGTACAGCTCATGGTTGCCCATACACAGAGCCAGGATGCGCTTGTTGATTCGCAGTCGTGGTGCATAGAACACAAAGTCCTGATGTCACAATCGAAAAGACTCAAGTCAACATATATTTGCCATATATACACAACTCATTTCTTTTATATATTCATATACAGTTTTAATCAAAATTATTCAACCCCCATTGCAAATTATGTTTATTGGCAAAATATGCAGACTTTCAAGCTGTTTGCAATGAAAAAAACAAACAAAAGTAATTGAAATAGCTTGACACAATGAATGTTTCAAGTGGTTTCCCCAAATTCATCTGAAAATGCAACTTTTAATGACTTCTTCAGTCTCACAATTATTCAACCACTTCATGGCAAGCATCTTTAGAACTTCTTCCTCATGAGCAATGGCCTCCAGTTCAGTAATATTCTTGGCTTTGCATGCTGCCACCACCTTCTTCAAATCCCCCCAGAGATTTTATGTGGGGTTCAAGTCAGGTGACTGTGATGGCCACAGTAGAATTTTCAAGGACTTCTTCTGCAACAAAGCCTTGGTAGAATTTGAGGTATACTTGAGATCATTGTCCTGTTGGAAGGTCAAATGACGCCCAAGTTTCAGCTTCCTCACTGACACTTTTTTTCCTCACTTTATTGCTCCAGAATCATGCTCCTGTCTGCCTTGCTGCTGGTTTGCGTCTGTAACCGCCGTATAGCTTTCTGTTTTGAATCTCTATTTACTATCATTCCTTGTTCTTTATATTGCTAAATATAACTTACTCATCAACATATATTAGATATTGTCTAATATTGCCTATCATATTAATCGGACATCGCTAGCTTTTATCTAAATCGTAATCGCTAGCACAACACGCTACACAACATGCCTTTTTCTCTCTCGCACACTCGCGCCTTTTACGAGTCTATCAAACAACTGTGGTGAGTAGGATCAGTCAACAAACACGGTGAGTCATGTCATCTCCTGTTATTGTCACTTGCAATTTTTGCCACATGTATAGTATAGCCTTCTCTGTCAGCGCTGAGGGCTTCACGTGATAAATGCAGGGAGATAGTCAGGCTGACAGAGAAGATTTCAGAACTAGAGACACGCATCCAAACTTTATTCGAGGATAGTAAGAATCCAAGGGCTTTAGATACTGCTTTTGAGGTGACTAGCTTAGTGAACTCTGTACATCGTTCGGTTCCAGCTGTAGAGCATGTGCAGCAGGGCACTTGGGTGACCATGAGACGCTATAGTCGCGGAACAAAAACACTGCTCTTCTGTTCCGATTACAACATCAAACAGGTTCTCCCCACTCAGTGAAGCACCCACTGAGAATCCTGTTGAATGTGCCCTAGTTATTGACGATTCTATTACACGGAACGTGAAAAATAGAGACACCAGCCACCATAGTCACATGTTTGCCGTGAGCCAGATTGTTATTCATGTCGGCACTAATGATGTTCGACTTCGCCAGTCGGAGTTCATTGAAATTAACGTTAAAGAGGTGTGTGAACTCGCAAGTACGATGTCAGACACTGTAATTTGCTCTGGCCCCCTTCCTGTTCGCCGGAGTGATGAGATACTTAGCAAACTGTCCTCACTCAATGCCTGGCTGTCTAAGTGGTGTTCGTAAAATAATATAAGGTTTATAGACAATTGGAAAAGTTTTTGGGGCAGATCTGACCTGTTGAAAAGAGATGGTATTTATCCCTCCTGGGATGGTGCTTCTCTTCCCATCACATAGAGACTCTTTCACCTACGTAGATATCATCATAGAGACTGTGTCTGTTCCCCGAACTAGGAAATACAAAAAACTCCCAAACCTATTTAAGGGTAAAAATTTAATTGATTTTTTTTATTCAACAAATAAAAAAAAACAGATTATAATACAGATGAACAAATGATAAAGCTCGAGTTGCTGAATATTCAATACATTACTTCAAAAGCACTTATTGTTAATGATATGATTACAGATCATAGCCTAGATGTGCTGTGCTTGACAGAAACCTGGCAAAAAACAGACGATTACATTACTTTAAATGAGTCCACCCCCAAGATTTCTGTAATAAAAATTAGCCTCATCTGAAAGGAAAAGAGTGAGGTATTGCTGTAATTTATAGTAATATCTTCAGAATTACTGAGAAGTCTAGTTTTAAATATAATTCTTTTGAAGTGTTGGTGCTTAGATGTAACACTATCTAGTGTAAATGATAAATCACGTTTGACATTTGTGCTGGCTACTGTATTCAGGCCATCAGAGCACCATACAGACTTTATCAAAGAGTTTGCTGATTTTCTATCAGAGTTAGTACTGGCTGCAGATAAAGTCCTAATTGTTGGTGATTTTAATATACATGTAGATAACGAAAAAGACGCATTGGGATTGGCATTTAGAGACATTCTGAACTCTATTGGAGTTAGACAACACGTGTCAGTGTTTTGAAATTCTGCAGCAGAACGATGACATCTCAGATCACTATCTAGTCTCGTGTATACTCCATTTAGCCAAGGTTGAAAAGCCGACTCTGTGTTACAAATATGTTAGAACTATCACTTCTGCCACTAAAGATTTCTTAATTTATAATATTGCGAATCAGTTTCATCTCCTCAGCATCCCATATAGCTTAGAAGAACTCGATATTGTGACAGAAACTTTTGACTTTTCCAGCACTTTAGACACAGTTGCTCCGTTACGCTTAAAGAAGATTAAAGAAAATAGTCCAACATCGTGGTACAACGAGCACACTCGAGCCCTTAAGAGAGCAGCCAGAAAAATGGAGCGCAACTGGAAGAAAACAAAACTAGAGTTTTTTTGCATTTCATGGAGAGAGAGCATGATTGTGTACAGAAAAGCGTTAAAAATGCTAGATCTGCTTATTTTTCAACCCTCTTAGAAGAAAACAAACAAAACCCTAGGTATTTATTTGAAACAGTGGCTAAACTAACGAAAAATAAAGCTACAACCCCAGACGTTTCCAAACAGCACAGCAGTTATGACTTTATGAACTTCTTTACTTACAATATTAGGGAGAAAATTATAACTATGCAACCGTCTACTACTGTATCGCATCAGGGAGTGCATTGTAGTATCCCTGAAGAAAAATTAGATTCATTCATTGCTATAGGAGAGGAATAATTGTCTATTTGTCACATTCACCTCCTTCATCTGTGTCTTCACCTCCTTCATCTGTGTCTTCACTACACTTCCCAGCATTCCCGGTCATCATCACCTGCACCTGCACCTCATCATCCTCATCATGATCACCGTCACCTGTGTCCCATCACCAGCATGGACTATAAAACACTCACTCTCCCTGCAGTCACGGTCTGGTCTCGTCTATACATGACTCTCCATCAACCAACCTGCTACTTACTGCTTCCCGATCCATCTGTATCCATCCATCCATCCATCCATCCATCCATCCATCCATCCATCCATCCATCCATCCATCCATCCATCCATCCATCCATCCATCCATCCATCCATCCATCCATCCATCCATCCATCCATCCATCCATCCATCCATCCATCCATCCATCCATCCATCCATCCATCCATCCATCCATCCATCCATCTTGATGTGACTGCATCCAATGCATCTACAAGAGAGAAAAGGACATTATCCATTCAGCTAAGCCTGTTTCATGTTTCAAAGTCATTTGATCCTTACCTGTTATCTCCGACTGAATATCCATCTGCACAAATAAACTTTATAAACTTACCAACCAGTCTGTTCCTTCTGTGAGCCCTGACACTATTGTCTCTCTCGTTACACCCTGACAGAAGACCAGACCAAAAGAGTGACAGAACGACCGACCGCAAAATGGACGAAGCGGGTCAGATCTTGTGTTCCATTTTCCAGAATGGGCGTAAGATCGAATCATTCTTAGAGGAATTCATAGAGTACAGCCATCTAACCACACTTACTGATCAGCAGTTGGTGGATTTATTTTGGAGTGGATTAGACCCACACTTCCATTCATGGATGCCACCAGGAAATCCCGGTGTGACCATTGAACGGTATCTGGACTACGTGCTTTTGTTGAGCGGCTCAGCCTACACTGTGGGTGAGGCTAATTTTAACATCGCCGCTCAACCACCGTCACCAGTCTCCGTCACCACCCGTCCTGAGTCTCATTCCGGTGAGACCGTCCAGCCAGACACCGTCCAGCCAGAGACCGTCCGTTCTAAGCCCTCTTCACCGCTGGTTCCGTCCAGCACCAAGCCCTCTTCACCGCTGGTTCCGTCCAGCACCAAGCCCTCTTCACCGCTGGTTCCGTCCAGCACCAAGCCCTCTTCTCCGCTGGTTCCGTCCAGCCCAGCCAAGCCCTCACCGCTGGTTCCGTCCAGCCCAGCCAAGCCAGCACCGCTGGTTCCGTCCAGCCAATCCGTGCCAGAGCCCGCCGCTGATCCTGCGCCAGAGCCCGCCGCTGATCCTGCGCCAGAGCCCGCCGCTGATCCTGCGCCAGAGCCCGCCGCTGATCCTGCGCCAGAGCCCGCCGCTGATCCTGCGCCAGAGCCCGCCGCTGATCCTGCGCCAGAGCCCGCCGCTGATCCTGCGCCAGAGCCCGCCGCTGATCCTGCGCCAGAGCCCGCCGCTGATCCTGCGCCAGAGCCCGCCGCTGATCCTGCGCCAGAGCCCGCCGCTGATCCTGCGCCAGAGACTATGCATGTCACGTCGGCCCAGTCAGAGACTCTTCCTGTGCCTGAGCCGGTGTCTGTTGCTGTGTTTGTGTCTGTCCTTGTGGCTGAGCCGGTGTCTGTTGCTGAGCCGGTGTCTGTTCTCCCCAAGAAAATTTTGGGGGGGGGGTTATCCCTCACCGCCGTGGCCGCCCGAAGGGTCCTCACCGCCGTGGCCGCCCGAAGGGCCCTCACTGTTGCGGTCACGCCCACAGCCTGCTCCGCCCTGGAAGCCCGAGGGTCCAACAGCTCCGCCCTGGACGCCCGAGGGTTCGTCTGCTCCGCCCTGGCCACGCCCACGTCCTGCTCCGCCCTGGCCATGCCCATGTCCTGCTCCACCCTGGCCACGCCTAGGTCCTGCTCCGCCCTGGCCGCCTGCACGTCCTACTCCACCACGGCCACTTGCTCGTCCTGCTCGGCCTGGACCATCCTGGAGTCCGTCCAGTTGCACCCGGTCCACCTTCCCGTCACGGACTCCAGGATGCCCACCCCTCCAGGATGCCCGCCTAGCGGGAGGGGGGAGTTATGTCACACTCACCTACTTCATCTGTGTCTTCACCTCCTTCATCTGTGTCTTCACTACACTTCCCAGCATTCCGGGTCATCATCACCTGCACCTCATCATCCTCATCATGATCACCGTCACCTGTGTCCCATCACCAGCATGGACTATAAAACACTCACTCTCCCTGCAGTCACGGTCTGGTCTCGTCTATACATGACTCACAGACTCTCCATCAACCAACCTGCTACTTACCTGCTTCCCGATCCATCTGTATCCATCCATCTTCGATGTGACTGCATCCAATCCATCTACAAGAGAGAAAAGGACATTATCCATTCAGCTAAGCCTGTTTCATGTTTCAAAGTCATTTGATCCTTACCTGTTATCTCCGACTGAATATCCATCTGCACAAATAAACTTTATAAACTTACCATCCAGTCTGTTCCTTCTGTGAGCCCTGACACTATTGTCTCTCTCGTTACATCATCTAAATTGACAACATGTATGTTAGACCCTATACCGACTAAGGTATTGAAAGAGATGCTTCCAGAGGTCATAGATCCTCTTCTTAATATTATTAATTCACCTTTGTCATTAGGATACATACCAAAACCTTTTAAGCTGGCTATGATTAAACCGCTTGTAAAAAAAAAAACGCAACTTGATCCTACAGAATTTGTCAATCACAGGCCTATCTCGAATCTACCTTTTCTGTCTAAGATATTAGAAAAGGCAGTATCCTCACAACTATGTTCCTCTTTAGAAATAAATGGTATCTGCGAGGATTCCAGACAGGACCATACCATAGTACTGAGACAACTCTCATTAGAGTCACAAATGATTTGCTCTTCTCATCCGATTGTGGTTGTATCTCTCTATTAGTGTTACTCGATCTTAGTGCTGCATTTGATACCATTGACCACAACATTCTTTTAAATAGACTAGAAAACTATGTTGGCATTAGTGGAATTGCACTAGCATGGTTTAAATCATACTTATCTGACCTTTATCAGTTTGTAGTAGTAAACGCAGAGATGTCATATCGATCACAAGTTCAGTATGGACTACCACAAGTACATGTTCACTCTGTACATGCTACGCTTGGGAGATATCATTAGGAAGCATGGCATTAGTTTTCACTGTTGTGCTGATGATACTCAGCTCAATATTTCTTCATGCCCTGACGAAACTTACCAATTCACAAAATTAACGGAATGCATAGCTGATATAAAAAACTGGATGACTAGTAATTTCCTACTACTTAATTCTGAAAAAACAGAGATTCTAATTATTGGACAAAAAACTTCCTCACGTAATAACCTAGAATACTGTCTAACACTTGATGGATGTTCTATCAAGTCTTCGTCGTTGGTTAGGAACCTGGGTGTGCTCTTTGATACCAATCTTTCATTTGAAAGTCACGTTTCTATTATATGTAAAACTGCATTCTTCCATTTTAAAAGATATATTTAAATTACGACATTTTCAATGTCAAATCCGGAACAGTTAGTTAATGCGTTCATGACATCAAGGCTAGATTATTGTAATGCTCTTACGGGTGGTTGCCCTGAATGCATAATAAACAAACTACAGGTGGTCCAAAACGCAGCAGCTAGAGTTATTACCAGAACCAGGAAGTATGACCACATTAGCCCCGTTCTGTCAACACTGCATTGGCTCCCTATTAAACATCGTATACATTTTTAAATATTGCTGATTACTTACAAAGCACTAAATGGTTTAGCTCCCCAGTACTTGAGCGAGCTCTTAACGCATTATAGTCCTTCACGTCTGTTGCGATCTCAAAATTCCGGCCAGTTGATCATACCTAGAATATCAAAATCGACTGCTGGCGGTAGATCCTTATCCTTTTTAGCACCTAAACTTTGGAACAGTATTCCTAACATTGTCCGGGAAGCAGACACAATCCATCAGTTTAAATCCAGACAAAAAAAAAACACCTAGCATACACATAACACATTATCAACTTCTATAACTCAATGGTAGGCTGCATAGATTAGGTCAGCCGGAAACCGGGAACACTTCCCATTAATCCTGATGTACTCGTTGCATCATAAGAAGAATCGCATCTACGTTTATATTAGTCTCTCTGTTTATCCCGAGGTTTACCGTAGTCTGCTGGATCCAGGCCGTATCCAGATCTGATGAAGGACCTAGACACGATGACAACACAGTCCTGAAATGTCAACTAGTCTCTCCCCTGTGAAGGCTTCCTTCCTTCCCTTCACCTCTGTATAGATAAAACGTTGTCAAAATGATTCCAGTTCACATGGATACACAGAAGCGACAATACATTATGTATTACAGTATGTTTTTTAAGGCCAGACAAGTAATTTGGTGAGTTAAATTTGTAAAGAAAGACAAATTTCTGCATGCGCACATATATATTCAAACCCGCATACCTATAGACTGAATACATAATGCACGCCATCAGCGTTTTCACAGATTCGCAAGGTTTGCCTTCTCGAGCCACCAGGCACTGTTGTTGTGCAAATGAGCAGGCCGGAGCGCATTAAGGGTTTTCTGTTAGAACGGTGTAAGCGGTCTTTAAGTTAACTCTCTGGGGTCAGCAAACGCGCCGGCGCATTTTGCTGGATTTTCTTCACATAGTAGCACAATATACTTAAATTACTCCGTCATTTATGGTCATACAGAAAATTGCCATCCTTCCTACGGGATTCGGTCTATCCAATTGAGTGCAGAGGCATTTTTTTTCCTGATTCGGTTAAAACACGCCCCAAAATCACAGCCCAATAGAGCAGTATCAGACTCACATTCTGACTAGAATCTGAGTATGACAACGTCAGGCTATGTCAGAACACCTCCAGGGGCCCGTTTCAATAAGGAGGTTCAACCAACTCTGAGTTAAAACTTGAACTCTGAGTTGACTTACCCTGAGATGGGAAACTCTGAGTTTTCGGTTACAGAACAGCTGAAATGAGTTAGTTAAATCAACTCTAAGTTGACTGACTCTGAGTTAAGCGCGTGCACCACAACTATAAAAAGCCATTATCAATGGAGCGCAGATATTATGAGTCACCATGGCAACAGCGCCAGACAAAAAGAGGTCTGCATATTTCTCACCAGCAGAACTGTTTTAGCTTGGGAGAAAATAGTTGCTGGAGTCAATGCTTAAGTTTACATTTTAATTACTGTTATACAGTGTTGGGTGTAATTAATTACCAAGTAATCTAAATACTGTAATTCAATTAAAGGGATTACTCTTAATTCTTCTGTAATTTAAAGTAAAATCTGATGTAATTGTATTAAATACTGCTTAGACTATAGAACAATTCTGTTTAAAACAATAGTGGATTTAACATACATTTTTAAAAGGTATATGTTTAATGTTACCTTCTCCCTCTACACACTTTGGTCAATTCAAGAATATTCATGCAATTGTATATTGTTAATTTGAAAGCATTAAAAGTGCAGTTTCTTGTCTCTCCTTGTATTTGTCTTTGTTTTATTGTTTTGGTTGTTTGCTGTTGTGTTTCATTGCCTGTCCGCTATGTAAAGCGACCTTGGGTTTGTGAAAGGCGCTATATAAAATAAACGTATTATTATTGTTCAAGTGGTTGAGGTTGATATGGGATTTAGTAATTAGTAATAAGTAGACCAATACATTCTAGATATAGAAATTATTACATTAATCTAATTACACTGTTGAAGATGTCATTTGTAGTTAGTAATTAATAACTATTTTAGAGTAACTTACCCAACTGTTATAATATTAGAGGTGAAACTGGAAGAACAGTAGCCTATGTTATTCAACCTAATTTTAATTTTAGGTGCAATCCTGCAGGCATTAAAAGAATGTGGCAGCAGCTGAAAATGAAATATAAAAATATAATTCAGTCAGGTAAGGCTTGAGCATATCATGGGTGTAGGCTACCTGACTTTACAAACATTTGACATATTAAATAACTAAATAGCATCCAGCAGTGCAGCAGCATTTTTGACATAGGTCTAATTCTGTTTTCACACAATTAAATGTTCATTTTCATTTGACTACTACTCAGCCAACAGAAAGAAGGCAGAGGCTCGCAAAACAGGGGGAGGACCTGCACCACCACCTCCACAAATGCAGAGGAGATGGAGATGGAGATGGCCCTGAGCCTGAATGCTGGAAGGCCAATGGCTGAGGGAATTCCTGGAGGGACTTCATCAGAGCCAGTCACTCCCCAGGATTCAAGGGCCTTCATAAAATTTAAGAGGTGCTGAGCATATGTGTTATTTTTTATATAGGCTATTTTTGATATTTCCATTTATTTTACTTTGGGTTGGGTTTTTTGTTGGTCCCAACAGATTCTGATGGTAATATCTGTCTTTTGGAGCCTCCTGTCCCAACAGAACCCCAGGCAGTTGTAAGTACTCAATACACCAAAAATGATGACAAATAGTATTATAAAGTTTACTCAATCAAATGCTCATCTTCACAGGACGATGGGGATGAAGAAACAGTTTCTGCTGCCACAGAGAGGCATACAGAGGTAATGTTAATATTATGTGTCTACACATCAAACAATCTACACATTCACATTTCTTCACATTTTTATGTGGAGTAACCTATAGAATCTAAGTTTATATCTAAGTATAAATGGACATTTTCAAGAAATTCTGCTCCCGACCAGGTTAGGTTCACAGAGTAAGTTACCATGGTAACTGACTCTGAGTATAAGTTACCTCTCTTTCAGAAACGGGCTTGACTTACTCTGCTTTCTCAGGTTTGACATACCTCCCATTCTGAAACGGAAAACTACTCGGTTACTATCGTAACCTCAGTTCCCTGAGAGAGGGAACGAGTATTGCGTAGCTATACGCAGTGGGGAAACTCCTTTTCCTCGATTTACTGAAACCTATATGTAAAACGCATTTGCAGCTGCACAGCTAGCACACTGAGCGTCTGGCACGCTCATAGGCTGTGCTGCCGCAACTGCACAACCAATGGCGCGGGCGACTCTGACATACAGCCAATGAGCTAGCTCAACGTCAGAGCCCGTCAAGGGGGTGTGGTTTAGCCTATAAAAGACCCCCGAATTCGCCATTATAGCAGGTTTATACGACTGAAGCGACAACTTCACCCGTTACTAAGTGCGGCCGGCTACGCAATACTCGTTCCCTCTCTCAGGGAACTGAGGTTACGATAGTAACCGAGTAGTTCCCTTTCGAACGGTCACTTCGTATTGCGTAGCTATACGCAGTGGGGACGCCCTGTAAAACGCCGCACCCTTAGTAACTGGTTGCACTGCAACTCAGGCCCCCTGAGCTAACAGAACAAGCCAGAACCCAATATAAGAATATATATATATAACAGACCAGACACTGTCAGGCCTGAATAATATATAAGAGCCAGTAACAACCAACAGAATATACTAACAAACCCCGACACTGTCAGGATTATTAGTACAATTCATAACCAGCCTAAGCGGGTTTTATATATGTATGTATGTGATTATGCACAGTAATTTTTTGTAGACAAGACCAGACAGCATCGAGTCTTAATCATACTGAAAGAACCTTCGCCTGCAGGGAAGGCACCTCCATATTATAGAACTTCATAAATGTGGAAGGCGAGGACCAGCCGGCCGCCTCACAAATATCTTGAATGGGAAACCCAGATGACCAAGCCCATGACGAGGCCATGCCTCTAGTCGAATGGGCCCTGACACCTATAGGGCAAACCTGACCCACTGAAGTATAAGCCATAGAAATGGCATCCACTATCCATCTAGACAGTCTTTGTTTGGTAACTGGACCACCCTTAGATCGGCCACCAAAGCAGACAAACAGCTGTTCTGACTGTCTAAAAGACGCAGAACGCTCCAGATAGACTCTCAGCGCCCTGACAGGGCAGAGAAGATTAACCTCCCCATCCTCGGCAGAAGGGGGAAGGGCTAATAGCGTGATAACTTGCGCTCTAAACGGCGTTGAGAGCACCTTGGGTACGTAACCATGCCTGGGTTTGAGAATGACTCTGGAGTCATCCGCTCCAAACTCCAAACATGCCGGACTCACAGAAAGGGCCTGCAGATCTCCCACTCGCTTGATAGATGCCAATGCCAACAGGAGAGCAGTCTTGAGCGAGAGTGGTTTTAGACCCACCGACCGGAGCGGTTCAAAAGGCGGCCCCTTCAGGGCCCTGAGGACCGTGGAGAGGTCCCAGGGAGGTACTGATGGGGGCCTGGAGGGGTTAATTCTCCTAGCGCCCTTCAGAAATCTTACTACCAGGTCATTTCTTCCCAGTGATTGACCAGCCACCAACGCATGATGCGCTGCGATGGCTGCCACATAAACTTTGAGCGTGGACGGGGTGCGGCCCGCGTCCAGTAGCTCCTGCAGGAAGGAGAGTACCACCGATACCTCACATGACTCTGGGTCAACTCGATTTTTCGAGCACCAGCTGGAAAAACCCGACCACTTCAAAGCATACAGACGCCTAGTAGACGGGGCCCTTGCTTCAGAGATAGTGCCTAAGACCTTGTCAGGAAGGCCCCCGGGTACCCGTTTAGGGGCCACACATGGAGGGCCCATAAATCGGGTCGGGGGTGCCATATCGTCCCTCTGGCCTGTGTGAGGAGGTCCCTCCTCATTGGAACGGGCCAGGGGACCGTGTCTGACAGCTGAACCAGCTCCGGAAACCATGGTCTGGATTTCCAGAGAGGAGCCACCAGAAGGACTGGGCATCCGCTCTCCCTGACCCGTTCGATGACTTGTGGGACCATCGAGATGGGGGGGAAAGCATAAAGGGGGCGGTTGGGCCAGCGCGTCCCTGTTCTTCGAGAAAAACACCCTGCAGTGGGTGTTGGCTCTCGAGGCGAAAAGGTCGATTTCGGCCTCGCCGAATCTCTCCCATATCAGACTGACCGTCTGAGGGTTCAGAGACCACTCGCTTAGGGGAGTGTTGCCCCGTGAGAGCATATCCGCGCCCAGATTTTGGACGCCCGGGATGTGCGCTGCTCTCAGGGAGCTCAGGTTGGCCTGTGCCCATAGGAGGAGGTCCCTCGCCATAGCATACAGGTTGCCCGACCTGATGCCACCCTGGCGATTTATGTAGGCCACCACTGACATGTTGTCCGTACGGACCAGGACATGGTGACCCCTGAGGTTTAACAGAAATGCTTTCAGGGCCAAACCAACTGCTTTCATTTCCAGACAGTTGATATGTAAGCTCTGCTCCGTGCTCGACCAGAGGCCGGAGGCAGGCTTGCCCTCGTGCAGCGCTCCCCAACCCAGGTTGGATGCGTCTGTAAAAACCACCTTCCTCCTGGAAACTACCCCCATGGTCACCCCCTTGTGGTACCAGTCCTGAGCCCGCCAGGGAATCAGTGCTCTTAAACACCCGTGATTCACCATAATGCGCAGGCTGCCTGACTGCCATGCATGGGTTGGCACACGGCGTTTCAGCCAGTGCTGCAGCGGGCGCATGCGCAGTAATCCCATGTGGAGTACTGATGATGCGGCTGCCATTAGACCAAGCAGTTTCTGAAACCTCTTCAGAGGCGCGTGCTCGCGCGCCCTGAATGCGGCTGCCAGTGTCTGCACAGAGAGCGCGCGCTCCTGAGTGAGCCGCGCTTTCATTGTCACCGAGTCTAAAACCGTTCCCAGAAAGACCACAGTCTGGCTGGGGTTCAGTTCGCTTTTGGCAACATTGATTGTGAGACCCAGGCATTTTAAATGGCCGAGAATCAAATCCCTGTGAACTATTAGTTCGTCTCTCGACTGCGCTAGCACCAGCCAGTCGTCGAGATAATTCAGCACACGCACACCCTGGCTTTTTAGCGGGGAAAGCGCTGCATCCATACATTTCGTGAATGTACGGGGTGCCAGACACAGACCGAACGGCAGAACGGTGTATTGATATGCCCTCCCCTCGAAGGCGAATCTCAAGAATGGCCTGTGACGAGGGTCGATCTGAATATGAAAGTATGCATCTTTCAGATCCATTGAAACAAACCAATCCCCCGGGCGAACTTGCGCGAGAATTTGTTTGAGTGTTAACATTCTGAACGGCCGTCTCATGAGAGCCCTGTTCAAACGTCTCAGATCTAGTATGGGTCTGAGCCCGCCGTCTTTCTTTGGAATTAGAAAATAGCGGCTGTAAAACCCCGAATACATTAGCGCGGGAGGGACTGACTCTATCGCTCCTTTTGCTAATAAATTCTGAACTTCGGTGCGAAGCACGTGACCCACGCCGCTTCTCACCGATGTCTCGATAACCGCCTGGAATTTCGGGGGCCTGCGAGCGAATTGGAGCGAGTAGCCTCGCTTTATAGTGTTTATGACCCAACTCGACACACCGGGGATGGCTTGCCAGGCCATCACCCGTGCGGCTAGGGCTTGACACACTGAATGGGGGGGACCGCCTAACATAGGGGGACCTGATACCCTTACACTGTGATTTGTGCACATACTGAGTGTTTGACTGATTATACCGGCTTTTGCCCGGGGGGATTTCAGTCTTACAACAGGGCGGGGGCCGCCTAGTGAAGGGGGACCGTGAACCCGTGTGATGTGATTGTGAAACATACTCTTTTTGTGCTTTATTTGGGTCGCCGTGAAAACGGCGTTTGTTTGCAAAGACGCGCTCACTGCTGCGGGCCTGTTTACAATAATAAAATCCCCAGCCGCCTGAACTGAACAGGGAGCTGTGGGAAGTTTTGCCAGCTTTTTCGAGGGTGGTCCGGCTAGCGCGAGACACGAGCCCTCTCTCTTTCCTCTCCGTGCTAGGACGACTTCGGAGGCACCTGG